CAGGCTTTCATCAATCTGAAATCAGTGTGGAGATCTGCTGCACTCAGTATAAAGCATGAATAAGATCCAGATTTTCAACACCAACGTCAGTCAAGTCAGTGTTTCTGTATGGCTCAGAGACTTGGCGTGTCACGAAAAGCACTTCCAACAAGCTACAGACATTCATCAAGAGCTGCCTACGCTCGATACTGAAGATCAGATGGATGGGCAGAGAGAACAAGCAACAAGGACCTCTGACTGGCAACGAACCAACCAACAACCCATCGCCCAACAAATATGCAGAAGAAAGTGTAGATGAGTTGGATTGGGGATACACTGAGAAGGCCGACTGGGGACATCACGCACTAGGGCAGACCGTCGAGTGGAATCCAAAGGGGAAGCGACGAGTTGGGCGTCTGAGGTGAGGGTGACATGGAGGAGATCGTGTGAGGAGGAAATGAGAGCTTGTGGGTAGTCGTGGAGCCAGGTTCAAAATATTTCAGAGAACAGAGCGCATTGGAGACGTGCTACTGAAGCCCTATATTCCATCAGGAACCCACGGGACATATGATAATAATATAATATTTCAAAGGACAACGCGTAGGATACTTGAGATACTGACGAAGCTAGTTAACAAGGTACACATGTGTAATTTCTTTAAAATTGTTGATTGATTCCTTTTACTTTTATCAGTGCAGTGGTGTACCTTGCACAACTGGTTATTTTAACATTCATGAAACTATGAACGACGAAACCAGCCCTTTGATTCATAAAGAAAAGAGGAGATTATTCAAGGAGGAAGATTTTCTTCGTTTGAACTTTAAAAGGGAATAGGTCTCTATCTTATCAGATAAGCGTACATTTTTAAAGGAGTTTGCTCAAAATGATGCCAATGAGCGAATTGAACGAAAGCTCATCCAGATTCTGAAGGAATTGAGTCTATCACCAGCCCTGGACTATTCAAGCAGTTGTGACCTAGTTTGGTGACTCCTCTCAAAAACACACAAAGGTCCCTCTCTGCTTCATATTTCAGACATGAACAACTCACTGTACCATTCTGTTGCCAAGTGACTGTCAGATGTCCTTCAGCCAGTCAGAAAACAACTAATACACATAGCTTACTGAAGTCCTTCGACTTAGCCGACTCAGTTAATGATGTCAATATATCCGATAAGTAAATGATTTCTTAGGATGTGGTTTTTCTCTTCACCAACGTCCCTTTCATGGAAACTATCGTTTCCACAGAAGATAATATGTCTCATTGAAGTATCCAAAAGCACTATTTAAAAAAATATCTCTAAGATGTACTTTCAACGTGCAGTTCAACTTCGACAGTGAGCTATGTAGACAAAAGGATGCAGTCTCTATGGGATCACCACTTGAACCCTTGCTGATTGATTGCTTCATGACAAACCTAGAGAACAGTGAACTTCATTGCACAATTTGTAGTTTCTATCTATATAAAAGGCGTATGAATGATTCATTCATCATATGTGATTAAAATGCAGATATTTGAACTGCAGTTAAAATTTTTAATGATTGTCACTCGTTGATGAACTTCTCGATGTCTTACTGAAATGCAAGGCAGATGGAACTCCTCATGGATCGATTTATAGAAAGCCTACATGGAATGGACAATACCTGAATTTCCATAGGTAGGTGGCTCTTGGCAGAAAAAGTAATCTGACTCATTCTTTGTCTTCAATAGTCAGAAGAATCTGCATGAGTGATACAATGGGTGATGAACTAGACAAACTAGGAAAAATTTCTATGTAAAATGGATACCCATCCATATTTATTGAGAACTTGAAATTAAAGTGGAATACAGAACAAGTACTCACAGTTCCGAAGAAGACCTTGTTTATAACGTTGGTTTCAAAGGCGATACAGGCAGCAAAGATCCTGAAGAATCGACTACCCAAATCGCCTAAGAAGACGTTCTTCTTTGTGAAGCTATGGATCGACATACCTAGTCAGCATTTGGTTCAGGAATGCGTTGAGGACAAGTTGCGGCTATGGGTCAATTCAATGTGTATCTTCAAATTTATTCTCTCCTATAAGCCGCATAAAGCGTGCACTTCCAAACGGATCTCTGCGCACTATCCCGCATGGCTGTCTAGGGGAGTCCTGCTTCAGCATCATCTATAGCGTCAAATGGAATGGTTAAAAAGGAGTACGCCCTCGATAGTTGTGCAAAGTACAAGCACTAGCAATTCACCAACTCAAACCTGATCTCTGTGTGCAAGAGAAATATCTTAAATCTCTTATCTTACCATGGTCTTACCATTGACAATTTTTCAGTTTCATAATAATTAGTTGGCTTATTATTATTATTATTATCACCTTCATTAGGACCTTCACCTTTTTTATATTTATCTATCCATCCATCAAGTGGACGCTCAATATTCGCATTTCTCAGCTACCAACAGTTTTCACTTTGTCAAACTCTTTACCTTCCTCGTTATTTCCACTGTCTAAAAGATTATTACGATACCGCTTTCCATTCTTGATTTCGGTTTCTCAGCACTAGCTTAGTGATGCAATTTTACACTATTGTTTGGTAATAGACTGTTATGTGTTTGTGATATATATCATTACTACTGTACAACTTTAGAAAATGATGTCGAAAACGAAAATTTTCTTCGCTTACTTATCTCTTCTTTTCTCTATTCATGAAACTAAGTCTCATACTAAACTACGTGGTCTAAGGAATCTCATCCTGAGCAGATATGAAAATCCAAGTGTAGGATAATTTCGTTTCCACGTTGGGAATTTCTACAATAACTTAGAAAATAGCTGTTATTTTCCATCCTCCCATGTATTCAGCAATCCATATTTCACTCCATAAACTTTTACGTGACACAAGTAAGGGTGAGGAAAAGTTCTTACACTCGAATCATGTTACACAGATAGAGGTTTTCTTTTGTGACTGGCCCATTATAGAATTCTTAATCAAAACGATTTCACATAAAATGTTTCCGAATTAGTAATTCTTATGAAAATACAGACAGAGTTGTCTAGACCTAGATGAAACAGTGACTATTCAGATTGATGAGCTACATTTCTACCATTAACTCAGAAGAATTTCAATCATTTCCAGAACAACGTATTTCCACTAAAGACACTAATCAACGAATCTGTCATTATTGTTGCAAATGTTTAAGCAAAAGCTGTAGGCAATAAATTCAGTCTGTCACTTAAATCACATATCACATTTTTTCAGTGATATAACTGGCTGTTTAACTTTGTGATAATTTCGGTCAGAAGCATAGGGCCCTGATATCTTACTGCTAATCATATGTACACATTTGAAAGCATATCCATTAACTACAACATAACACGTTCTTTTGCGCATTTTAATGATAGACACTGATTCCGGACAAAGTTTGTACAGTTTTGTGTTCACTTTCATTGATTACTGGATTATTTGAGCGGAGTTGCTTGGAACTCAGATTACTGGCATATACGAACCTATAATTGAAATCTCTGTTCCTTCCCATGAGAATTTCAGGTCAGGAGTCTTAGTCAAGAAAAACAGTGAATAGTGATCGTTAACTTTAGCGTCAGAAAGCACATTTTAAAAGATCACAACCCATATATATTGTACTTCTTTCGAATTAACTGTCACGCAGGTGGAAATATGTAAATTGAGGTTTTAAACCGAGACCAGCTGTCTGAAAATCAGCGGCATAAACCAGTGAACTGTATCTTTACGAAGGCTTGTCTTTGTGCAAATACACCTTTCTGATACACTCTAGGTATGGGAACTGCTTACTATAACTGTTTTTCAAGAAACACATTTATTGCAAGTCTCATTACTAGATATACGGGTAAGACTGATTGACTTGAGGATCATCGAACTTAACTTAGAGGTAGACACAATATGTCAGTCCCCACTGGTTATGCAGCTAATGGAACATGCTAGTAAGTCTCTAGCATAGGCAACTTAGTACCAAATTCAGTTTGCCGTAGAAACAGTAGTATAAACCCCAAGGAAGTTTCAACAGAAGTTAGACAGAAAACAATAATTTTTTGAAAATTCATCCATATTCATGCACTCGTTGTTCATCTTGAATGATTTAAGTACGTGCATAAGGGAACGTAAGAGAAGTACGGAACTACAAAGAGATAGTGCAGTTACGCTGTGCAACTTACTCAGGAAAAGTAAAATAAATAAGGAAAAATCAGGTGCAGTCTTTTCAGACCAATAAGTGGGTGTAAAGTCTTAAAGTCGTTGGTCAAGGAGAATAAACAAGAAAGGTGCGTGTAAGATTTACTCATGAAGAGGATAATAAGATGAACTGATAAACAACTGTCAGAAATACTTCAACTACCTTTCAGCTATCTACCATGCAGTTGTAGCTTGCGTGAAAAATACCGCCAACTCCAAAATTGTCACCTTAATCATGAAATTTATTTCAGGGTATCATCAACAACGATAAAATTCTCAAAATAATTACAAAAGATCAACTTATTCAACTTGGTTCTACAGCAGCCGGGACTCCTAATAAATAAGTTAATCCCTGTTCTCTGTACTTAATGTTGATTGCATCAAACCATCTAGCATTTGGTAACCATTACTACAGTAGCACTATTAGTGTGTGTGCACTTCAAAGTTGAGGCATACAGTAGTAGACAAAAGTCTGCCATCAGTCTGTGTCCATGGTAGCACACATCAAGGAATATGGTTTACAATCAGCTGTGTCAGCATATATGAGTCAATAATTTATTTGTCCTTTGTCATTGAAAATCACATGGCTCTTTACACTTTATTCTTTTCACCTCTTCTGTTTGCTTATATCCTTCAGTTTATATACTAATACTGGTACCCAGTCTTCATCCCTTTGTATTTCCTTTTTTTACTTCTCCTTGGATCTTTACGCAGTTATTTATCAACGACTGACTTTTCAAAACGTATGCCTTAATAGATACGCACTGAAATGACACAAGTAAGAAGCCTCTGACTATGTATGCTGATAATGTAAGTTCACAGTAAAAACAATTTATCGGTAGAAACTTACAGGACTAATACTTCGTGATGTTGAGCTACGCGTGAAACGTTTATCTTGTAAAGCAGTTACACGTATATCGTCTAGTAATGCGGCTACTCCATATCCAGACTCCTCATTCATAGGATGTAAAATTGAGAAGGTTGTAATATTAGCTCCTTGAACAGATTCAAATGCCTTCGGATCGACAGTTGAACATCCTGAAAAAGTATGAATATATGATAGCATTTGAGTGTGTTAACTAGTAATCTGAAGTGGTTTCAGCTGATAAAAGAGTTGAACTAAACGACCACTTCCAACATTATTTTGGTCTGTCCATACGTTTAATATAGTTACTACTGTCAAATCTCCTTGCATAACCGACAGCCAGTTGTATTCCTGGCTGTTCCTCTCGTTATTCTTCTTCATTATCTGCAATGAGGTGGTCATATCTACTGCTTTTATTTTGAAGAAAATAAGGAGCGAATTCGAGTGTCCGCAGATTTTCCTTACCTTACTGGAGTTAAACTCTTCACCTTAGAGAGCCAAGAAAACTCAATTTCAAACAGTTGATAAATACGGACTCAGAAATCGGGAATGAAAGAAAACAAAATGAGCCTGCTGTATGTAAAAGCAATTACGAGAACAACTGTTAGTTAGAAAAGTATGTTTCATCTACAGTTATCACAGCATGAACCGTTAGCTTATGTTTACTCAAAAATAATTTGAAAATGAAAACTAATATTTACTCAGCATTTAATTTCGAATAAACTTTTTTGCAAAATTTATAAACAGTAATAAAACTTCAAAATGTATCTTAGTACCGAAACAAACATACTAATTTCAGAAATAACTAAAGGAAATAGTATAATCAATCAAGGGAAGATAACAATTATTATTCTACTGACTATTACAGAAAATCTAACCTCGTCTCGTTGACTAGTTCACTAGTTACTAGCAGGTCCTAAGCCCGGATAAAGAGGGAAGGTTGGGTATAGGGCTAGCAACCCTACCCCGTAAAACAAATCTAACCGCTGAAGAAACTTCAAAGCACAAACAAAATATAAAAAGTAAGAACAAACTTATTCCTCGCTGGAATCGGAGAGACAAAATGACGCCGGTTGATGAAAGCCTTCGGGAAGCCGATTGGCCGATGTGTCTTCTCTCTCTCGATGAAAACGGGAGTAAACGTGGGGACATAGAATGTCCGCACCATGCATGAACCTATCAAAGCTGCCCAGATTTCCAAAGAGATGAGGAAGTATGGCATGCAAGTGCTTGGAATCTGTGAAAGCAGATGGAATGTGAGTGGACTCTCCAAACCGTCAACTGGAGATGATATCCCTAGACGTATCATCCCTATTCACAAATGTCCCTCTGATGGAAACAGTGGACTTCATATGTAGCGAACTGGAAAAGAGAAACATAGAAATTGGAATTACGGCATCCACCTTGAAAGAGCTTCTCTTACGATGTACAATGAATGTACACTTTCTCTTCAATAAGGAATTCTATAGACAGTCAGACGGTGTCGCTATGGGGTCACCACTAGGCCCAATCTTAGCGGACTTCTTCTTAGCAAAATTAGAAAATGGCCCTCTGGAAAGCATCATAAGCGGGTTAGAATTTTATTGCCGTTATGTAGATGATACATTCTTGATTGTGAATAATGAGGACGATGCAAGGATCATACTGGATGAATTCAATGGCGTCCATCCAGCAATAACCTTCACTATTGAAACAGAAAATGACGGCAGCATCACCTTCTTAGATGTCCGATTGACAAGGAAGGTGGATGGAACTATAAAAAGAAGTGTGTATCGGAAACCAACGTCAACAGGTCAATACACCCACTTCTTGAGTTTCGTCCCCTTGCAATATAAACGAAATCTCGTTAAATGTTTGGTCCATCGGGCGAGACTCATCTGTTCAGATGATAGTTTTGACGAAGAGCTTCAAATTATCCACGATCTACTCAGTAGTAATGGATATCCAGAAACGTTCCTGGCTAAAAATATGAACACATCCAATATGAAAACCAGAATGCCTACAGTCTCCAAGAAACCATTGTTTCTAAGACTACAATTTCGAGGTGACATCATCAGCGAAATTGTGACACAACGCTTAAGAAATGCCATAAGAAGATCATTTAATGCCGCCAAGTTATGTTGTGTTTTCTACAGCCGGCCGATGATGACCACACGAACTAAAGACAGACTCCCTGACTTCTCCTCTTCTATGTGCATTTACCAGTTCAACTGCTCCTGTGGAGCTAGTTACATTGGACGTACAGTTAGGCAAGTCCGTCGTCGAATCGCCGAGCATCATCCTTCATGGCTAAGTAAGGGGGAAACCAGACTGACACGAAGCTCAATACTCTCTCATCTGATTGACACCGGCCACCGAGTTAACATTCATAATGCCTTTAAAGTTATTTATCACATTCCTTCTCACCTCACCCATCCTCTACGAGTCCGTCTTTTACATACAGCAGAAGCCATAGGAATCCACCTACACAAGCCAAGTCTGTGTGTTCAGAAGAGATTCGTACAGCCTCTTTCTTTGCCTTGGCCATCTGTATAGCTCATTTATTACAACAAGACTCTTCATTTCATCCACCACACAATTCACTATAACTAGTATTTCAATAGCTCCATTATTATTATTATTATTATTATTATTATTATTATTATTATTATTACAGACTTAATCATCTTTCTCTCCCCCTACTGTCTCTAATTACCGTCAACAATTTACCATTTTACGTAACAGTTCATTTTTGCTCTTTAGTTATCATTATATAAAATATCAATTATGTAAGAACCTGTTCGCAAAATCTTTCTACGATAATTAATCTTTGCTTTAGTTAACTGTCTTAATTACCTGACCAATTATCACCTTCTTGAAACTTTGAGATTGATAACCTTTCACTGAACAACTCTCACCACTAGATTGGTATGTAATTTTACGTTTGAAAATGCTATATTAGTGTAGAGCCATTGATGAGGAACTAATTGAAAAGAAATATTTCTTCGCTCACATTGTTTGTTTTAATAAATGTCTAAATGGGAATTTTTGCATAACTGGAGAATCAATAATCTACTCCGATATTGTCACCCAGACGACAACCACGAGCACACTGAGTTTTGGAGTGGTTATCATGATGTCCTCAAGAACATCGAAGGCTCTCCTGCAGTAGGAACCAATCTCCTCCAGCATCAGGATCATGACACCAAGATTCAACTCAAAAGGAATGAAAGTCACAATCATACAATGCTACCCAGTGCACTTACAAATAATGCGAATCAAGAGAAGAAGAAGGAATTCAACAGACAACTGCAATCAGTAATGGACAAGACCACAATCCAGTTGGTGACATCAAAATTCTAATAGATGACATGAATGCCAAATTGGGAGCGGACAACACAGGAAGAGAACTCATCATGTGTCGAGAAGCACTCGGTGAAATGATGAATGAGAATGGAGAACTGTTTGCAGATTTCTGTGTATTCAACGATTTGGTGATTGGAGGCGAGGCAGTGTGTACAAACACAAGGATATTCACAAAGCGACATGGATTTCACCAGACACCAGGACACACTAGAAATCAGATCGACTTCATCTCAATGCGAAGAAAGTGGAGACGCAGCCTACTTGACACGAGATCAAGAAGGGGAGCAGATTTAGCTTCACACCACTCACTATCTAGTGCAAGGAACCTTCCAAATCAAGTTGAAGGCCTTCAAAGAAGTTGATGATAGACCACAGTCCAAGTTCAACACCCAGAACAGAAACTGAAGGATGAAACTACAAAGGACATCTTCACGTCAAACATCGGAACAAAATGGGGGACATTGAGCAGCATCCCTGAAGGATCGGGCGTGGAAGAACACTGGAACTCTTTGAAAGCTATGTGGAAAGAAACCTGCATAACCGCATTAGGAAGGAAAAAGAAACAAGACAATACAAGGAATGGATCTCGAAGGACACATGGGAGCTGATAGAAGAGAGGAGAGGAGGATGGTGAAGCAGTGCAAGGATGCACAACGAGAAGAGGAACTGAGTGCAACGTATAAAACACTACACTGGACAAAGAAGTGAAGAAGAGTGTGCGTGCAAAGACAAAAGACACTTCAACGACACACTTGAAAGTGAAGCAGAACAGGCTGCTGGTAGGAGACACCTGACAACATTATATCAAATAACCAGGTCACTATCCGGAAGAGGTCAACTCAGACGAGACCAATGAAAGATAGTGAAGGAAAGCTAGTTACCAAAGAAGAGAAACAAAGGAAACGATGGGCTGACCATTTCAAAAAGCTCTTGAATCGACCACCACCAACACCTGCAACTCGTCCAGAAATACCACCAGCAGCCCAGCCATTGAACTGTCAGTGAACACAAACACTCCGACAAAAGTGGAAGTCCTGAATGCCAGAAAGCTACTGAAATGTGGGAAAGCAGCAGGACCAGATGGAATTTGTCCTGAAGCACTGAGAACAGGCTCAGAGACAACAGCGAACATGCTCACACCACTACTGCAGAAGGTTTGCAAGGAAGGAAGGGAAGGTACCTGCTGATTGATTGGAAGAAGGGCTACCTCGTCAAACTCCCGAAGGAGGGAGACCTCAGTGTTTGCAAGAACTTGCGAGGAATCATGCTGCTGTCCACCCCCAAGCAAATTATGATGCCACATCATCCTGGAGAGACTACAAGATGCACTGGATTCAAAACTACGACCGGAACAGGCTGGCTGGCTGGCTGGCTGGCTGGCTGACTGGCTTCGGGAGGAACAAATCATGTGTGGATGAAATTGCAACGCTATGCTACGCATCATCATAGAACAGAGTATAGAATGGCAGTCAACTCTCTACCTCAACTTCATCGACTTTGAGAAGGCCTTCGACAGCGCCGACCGAGAAGTAATTCGGAAACTGCTTCAACACTGTGGTGTGCCACTAATCTTTATCAACCTCATTCAACAGCTATGTGAAGACGCCACATGCCAAGTGATCCACAATGGAAAGCTCATTGACGCCTTTGAAGTGAAGACAGGAGTGAAACAAGGCTGCCTACTATCACCCATGACATTCTTGATTGTGTTCGACTGGACTGGATCATGCAGCAAACCGTGAGGAGCGAGAAGATGGACATACGCTGGCTGGACCGATGAAAAGACCTCAGAAAAAGATTTGGATTCCGCCCTCGATGATCATTTATGTCCAATGTCTTGTCGCACAAACTCGAAGATCTACAGGCGAAGACTAACAAGTTGACCGAAGAGGCAGCGAAGACGGGACTTCAAGTGAATGTGGAGAAGACAGAGGTGATGAAGATACCAACCAACAACAACAGCATCAACAAAAAGCACCAATCACCACTAACGGGAGAAACCTAAAGGAATTAGCCTCCTTCACCTCTCTGGGCAGCACTGTTTCAACTACAGGCGGCACAGACGAGAATGTCATGACCAGGATCGGAAAACCAGCAAGACAGGCTTTCATCAATCTGAAATCAGTGTGGAGATCTGCTGCACTCAGTATAAAGCATGAATAAGATCCAGATTTTCAACACCAACGTCAGTCAAGTCAGTGTTTCTGTATGGCTCAGAGACTTGGCGTGTCACGAAAAGCACTTCCAACAAGCTACAGACATTCATCAAGAGCTGCCTACGCTCGATACTGAAGATCAGATGGATGGGCAGAGGGAACAAGCAACAAGGACCTCTGACTGGCAACGAACCAACCAACAACCCATCGCCCAACAAATATGCAGAAGAAAGTGTAGATGAGTTGGATTGGGGATACACTGAGAAGGCCGACTGGGGACATCACGCACTAGGGCAGACCGTCGAGTGGAATCCAAAGGGGAAGCGACGAGTTGGGCGTCTGAGGTGAGGATGACATGGAGGAGATCGTGTGAGGAGGAAATGAGAGCTTGTGGGTAGTCGTGGAGCCAGGTTCAAAATATTTCAGAGAACAGAGCGCATTGGAGACGTGCTATTGAAGCTCTATATTCCATTAGGAAGCCAATTGACTATTATGAATAATAAGAAATTTCAGAATGTCAGTGTTTTCTCTTTCCACTAATCGTAAGTAAATTGACAGAGAAAAGCGTCTAAGTAATGAGGTTTTACGATAAATAGCGTTGTGATAATACATTCTTTTCGTGGTATTATTTTGCAATCACACTTATTATGTGTTTTTAATCATTAACTGTTGTGGTTTATACCTTTCTTTAAATGTGGCACATATTTAACCTTAAATGTTTTGCTTGCAGTCACTCATGTAGTGCTGAAAAGTATAGAATAACTCAATTTGAACATGTACAGCTGCAGATTTGAATGATGTGGATTCATTTGATATGTCGACAGATTATGTAGGCCCACCTTGCCCATGATTCCTAACAGAGAACAACTTTTATTAAGCAATGAACTCAGTTAGAAAGGGACGGTTCATCTCGATGCACTCTACTCCACTTACGTCCTGGTTTAAAAGTTTTTAACAATATACAACCATATAATCTCTACCTGATGGTTTTCATCTCCATCATGTGTACAGAGATTGATCCGTACCGTTGACAGCTTTTTAAATTCAGATGCAAAGGTTGCTAACAGCTCTTGATTTTCAGCTGATTTCGGTTTCCGGTGTAGACTGTCTTGACACTAATCGTTTTTAAATGAACCCGTCATTTAAATAAAACTGTCTCTTGTTTTTCTCCAAAAACGTGCTGCATTTTCAGTTCCCACTGACTGCTTCCAACCTACTAACAACAATGAAAGTGCACTAAGCTGCTGAACCACCTAGTCTGACGATCCAACTACAAAATGACCGATGGATTCAATAAACAGTCAGGACTAGTCAACCTTGAGGCAACTAGTGTACTGAGAAGTCGTTACATATGCTACCTGAGAGATATTAGTCAAAACTGAAAGCTAGTATGACTTTGACACTTACATGGGAAACCAAATAAAAGAGGAATCGTATGCTGCACTATTTATTGATAGCATAGGTAAGCTGTGATCTGAAATTCACTTGAAATTCAATGGAAAAATAAAAACTACAATAACAACAGATAATCAGAGTTCATAGACTTATGCGTTGTGCCAGTAACTGAGAATTCAAGTTCTTCTGCATACGACTATGAGTTCCATATGATACTTGGTATATAAAAGCAGGTAATATGCACGATAGGATTACTATGCATTTACCAACCATATTCTATTCAGAATCACTTTTAGGCAAAACCTACAGGCTGCATTTCATGATTAAAAGCACATTTCATAAAGGATTACCTTTGATCTGCTATAATACAGGTACTCAGTTGAAAAGACGTGATCATGTATTTATTTGTCTTCACCTAAACTAAACATAAAATGAATGAATAATTTGGCTCATATTTAACAATTCAGTTTTGTTTATCATTCTAATTCCATCGTTATCCATTGTTAGCTCAGTGGCTTTTAGTTAACTCACGTCAAGTGAATAACTTTCAGCTATACGTGTATATCAGCTCTGTTGTTATAATCGTCATTCTGAGCTTGGTGTGTTCAGTGGCAGTCATTATTCATCGATACTGAAAAACAAATAGTATTCAGTGATATCGCACTGACTGGTTAACATATTTAGCATTCTTAGCCAAAATCTAATTTACACCATTGTTGAATTGCTTACAGAACTCAAGCAAACATCAGCAGAACAGACATGAAGTTCAGCTTCCGTGAGATTTTATAATTAACAAATACTTTTGTCAGGTAAATTACAATGAAAAAGTTGTCTTACCCAGTCTGTAAACACATAACTATAATATTGTGACGTCATGTTGTACGAATTTGCCTTGAAAGATAGAAAGAAAATTCGGAATGAATTAACGTCGGAAAGAGGTAAACTGACTGGACACACGTCCAGTCGTAAAATAATCATCTATATGAAAAGTATAAATCGTTCAGGTAACTTTTTTCACTGAAAACAACAAACCGTAACTGTCAGATTAGCATATATCAATTTAACAATTTTATTATAGCAACGCCAGCTAAAATGTATAGTCACAATATCAGGAGCTACTAGATAGTCTTAAAATAAACAGAAATAACTGTCCGCACACTCTTCAATTTGCGACAGTTCCGTAGGCAATATTACTTAACCGTTAGAATCATTCATATGCTAACTGATTACCTGTTATATACGGAGGTAAGTTGCTCACTAGATATTTTTGAATGTCTGATACTTTTCATGTCATAAAGTGTTCAACGGATATTTGTAGGTATCTTTTCTGTCTGCGAACTTAACTTGATCATCATCAGCTAAAATAAGACAATTTACTCTTTTAAAATCGACTTGCACGTGTTTCATGGAAAAACAACTGTTTGCGGCGAAGCAAGCTTTTCATATACGTATTCCACATTAAACATTTAATGCTGATAGACCATAATGTTAATTTTGTTAATTATTTTTTTACATTTGCTGATTCTGTAGTTGATTTCATGCAATACACTTTATCAAGAAGTCGCTTTCTCATAAAATCAACAGTATCCTCCCTGCAAATTGAGGAATCCACAGTAGGCTGGAGCTTCACACGCTAAAAGTGTCTCTATATTCTGTTGTTACTTTGTAGCCCAAGTATAACTCGTTTCCTCTACGGTGCATCAAGTGTGTAGATAATTTTTTATACCAGTTCATGTGAATGATATATTTTTCAATCTAGTTACCTAAATTTGGTTTCTACCCTCAGTTCATCAGCATTCATTGGTTGTAATAACGTGTTTTAATCCTCCTCTGTTGTGTGAATAACCTAAACTTCGGTGTTTCAAATTGATACACGACTCAGTTCTCGAAATCAGCTAATTGTATATGCAACTTTCATGCTTCATTTATTGATGCTTGTCATTTTCCGTTGATTTTTATTCTGGACTGAATTTACCAGTCCAATCGTCTTGGGGATGTTAGGTACTAGTTTCATCGAGAACTCATCACTCCATGAAAGAAAACTGTACCTAGCTAACAAATCCCAATCAGCAGGGAATGCACTTCCTGGATTCTACTGTTAGTTGCCATTAAACAATCAACATCAAAATATCAAACTTCCTATTTACATGACCATTTAATGCCTAAATGTTGTTAAATTATTATAATCAGTTGTACAATTCGTTGAAGTACTAACGAATATAAAAGTTTCCCTAGTTTCATACATTTTCAGTGATACGCATTATCTGTAAGTGGTATCAGCAATTCACTAAAGTATGTTGCGGAATTATATAACAGACAAAATAATTCTCAAAACTTGTTTCTAGTGGTTTACGGCAAGCAGAACAGCTGTTTAACGTCAAATTCAACTTGTGAGTCCTGCGGCCTATTTCGAGGACTATTTAGTGATGCATTAATTACACGAGTATATTCAACTCAGACTCAATACTTATGGTAGGTTAAAGTTCAGTTAAACTGAGCCTCACTTTACTCCTTGGAAAAAATGATTAATTAGATGTTTTTCATAAGACTGAAACATTTTACAAACAAAACATCTCGTGCATTTAATGGTATTTCTTATTGAATAAAGAATAAGTGAACATTCAGTATGTTAACTGATGAATAAAAAAGTGGTTTGAATATCATCAGAGGCAAAAAGATACTTGCAACGTACAAGTGCTAGAAATTCTTGAATCTCCCAGAAAGGTATATCCACAATAAAACGAAAGTGAGTTTGAGTAATCTTAAATTGTTTGATTACATATTTTGATTGTCATTTAAAACGTCCCATTTACGTAGCATTAATGGTTGATCAAACGTCCTCAATAAGTAATCGAATTCAATAAGCCTATTTGTGCATGAAAACAGACAAATGTAATAGCGTTTTGAGTGGTATTTACAATTCAGCAGATTAATTATCACATTAGCAAAAGATTTCAACGTGGTGCCTTCATATTCTGCTCAAAAACTATGGATGGCTGTTACTGTAGTTTCTTCTATCCTATCTCTTATTAGACTTTGTTAACTCGTTTACTTTAAAAAATCTTTGACTAGTTTTGCAGTTAACTTTGATGAACTGAGGATAGACTAATTCAGCAGTGGCTAAAATTCTCCACTGATTCATTCACTTTGTAAGTTGTTTCTCTCAAGATGCATTATGTGAATATAAATAGCATCTGATGAATCCAATAATTAAAATAAGAACATTATTTATATGAATAATTAAAAAAGCTGTTGTTTGATACCTGTTGCACAAAAGGTGATTCTCGTTCCCCAGTGGCCTAGTGGGTAACGCTTTGGTGTTTGGAGCGATGGGTACTGGGTTCGAGTCTCGGCGGTAACAAGATACCAATGGGGTGTAGATACATCCAGCTAACTAGTACCAAACAGGACGAAAACGCGTCCTGGATGCCACTGCTAGTCACCAAGCTGAATAAGATTAACGCAGTCTTCATTTACACTAACTAATATGTTACCAAAGAACTAATCACCGTTTTCCATTACTTATAATATGAAAAGAATTGGTTCTTTTAAAACCGTTAATACCCTGTAAAAACTACCTGTGCATTCTGTTCAGAAGTTGTAGTGTAATCTGAATCTGGCCAGAAACTGGGAAGTTTTAACTTTCACAGAGACAAAAACCAGCTTGTAATTTGTTGAGTTACCGTCTCTTTACAAATCGCTTCAAACTTACCACTGTGGCAGACAAAACTAAGAAATAGGCGCTCTTAGTCAGAAAAAAGTACGTCAAGATATGACGACATTAACTCTTGATAGAAGTAAAAATGTCAGATGATTTATTAGCATGTGGTTTAGCGATGCTATTGTCCACTGATCAAGTAAAGTTTGTAACTACAGGTTACACTAAGCTTAGGGGACAGAAAGTGTAATACCAAAATGTGAATTCCTAACATTTGCTTGAACTTCAAACGCTCATGAGGAGCGATAGCTGTACTATTATCGTATATTGTGTATACTTGTCTTCGGTGACATTTAACTAACTACGTATCTGTTCAGTCTTTGAGAACAAACTCCGACATAATTGTTTGCACACACCATTCTATCCATGAATATTTCCTTCAATCACCCGCAACTTCGAAGACGATGGAAAATAATTCTTAGTGCCTTTTTCCTGAGAAATAGTTTTTATAACATTGAATATATTACAAAAGAAATAATAACCATAAATAAAACTGTAAGATGAATAGCGTTCAACGTATTCATCTAAACATTACATAAACCTACTTTCTTCTTTGGAATAAATAACAGCTACTGTATCCCAATATTCAGCTTTCTGTACATAATCGTATAACGCCTGTCCAAAAGCTAAATAATGCGGATGTACATTTAAGGCATAACCACGAGATGTTTGACGATAGCCCCAGTCAATTTGTAAATGCGGTATACCGAACTGATTGCACAAAGCTTGTACTGCTGATGAAGCATGCGGTGTTGATGGCCCGTAAACTGCGATCACCTGTCGTTCAAGAAGCTGACAGGCTAAACGTATGATACGCGAAATCAAAATAATAGTTAGTCTTTGCAAAAATAAAAACTAACACCCAAAACATTGTAAATCAGTTGATTTTGTTGTATGGTATGACATGTGAATAAACAATATTGTTTTCATCATGGACTGACATCAGTTGGGGAAGCATTGAAATTTTAGGAGCACTGGACAGCTGTTTTGTCCTGGTATAGGACTCCTCAGCAGAACGCGCTATGTCATGAATTGACAGAAGTTGGAACTAGTGAACCACTGGAAACCGACCCGTGGCTGAATGGTTAACGCGTTCGCCGTAAAACCTGAAGGTCCTGAGTTCGGTCCCTAGCCGGTTGTGGGTGCGTACTGCTGAGGAGTCCCAAAATAGGACAAAAAAGCTGTCCAGTGCTCCCAGATTTCCAATGGTTCCCCAACTGATGTCCGTCCATGATGAATACTACTTCTAAGTTAAAAATCGCCATTCATTTCAATATTGTTTCATTTAGATCTTCCAATGCTTCACTACAATATACAAACCTTCCAACATTTATACAAAATATGGACCAATCAAGATAATTTGTCAGTCAATGATAACGAATTGTGTACTTTGAAATAATAATGGTGAAAGTATAAGGTTTGATAAGAATTTTGAAAATGACATGACAATGTAACCAGGTGTTTAGACAGATAAAGTAAATCAAAAAGGACAATAAATTTCCATAATACTAAAAGATGAATGCAGTGAGCAAAAAAGTTTAAATTCAAGTAAAATAACAGTTTGAAAGGAGTAATAAAAACAAAAAAAAAGAAGGGAACTGAGACTTATATAGACAATGCAGAGATAAAAATTGCAAGAATCTCAAAAACAAAGCTGCGGGTCGCTGATTCCAATTCCTAGAGCTTCAGCTATGCATAAATGGTGGGTTCGAAGAATATCGGAATCGCTCAACATTGTAATTATTATAATTATTATTATTAATATTATTGTTATTATTCTCGATCCCCTGGGTTCGTAATGGAATATTGGGCTTCAATAGCACGTCTCCAATGCGCTCTGTTCTCTGAAATATTTTGAACCTGGCTCCACGACTACCCACAAGCTCTCATTTCCTCCTCACACGATCTCCTCCATGTCACCCTCACCTCAGACGCCCAACTCGTCGCTTCCCCTTTGGATTCCACTCGACGGTCTGCCCTAGTGTGTGATGTCCCCAGTCGGCCTTCTCAGTGTATCCCCAATCCAACTCATCTACACTTTCTTCTGCATATTTGTTGGGCGATGGGTTGTTGGTTGGTTCGTTGCCAGTCAGAGGTCCTTGTTGCTTGTTCTCTCTGCCCATCCATCTGATCTTCAGTATCGAGCGTAGGCAGCTCTTGATGAATGTCTGTAGCTTGTTGGAAGTGCTTTTCGTGACACGCCAAGTCTCTGAGCCATACAGAAACACTGACTTGACTGACGTTGGTGTTGAAAATCTGGATCTTATTCATGCTTTATACTGAGTGCAGCAGATCTCCACACTGATTTCAGGCTAATGAAGGCCTATCTTGATTTCGCGATCCTGACTTTACGTCCTGTTTGCCCGCCTGTAGTTGAAACAGTGCTGCCTAGGTATGTAGGTGAAAGAGACTACTTCCTTTAGGTTTCTCCCGTTAATGGTGATTGGTGCTTGTTGTTGATGCTGTTGTTGTTGGTTGGTATCTTCATCACCTCTGTCTTCTCCACATTCACTTGAAGTCCCGTCTTCGCTGCCTCTTCGGTCAACTTGTTAGTCTTCGCCTGTAGATCTTCGAGTTTGTGCGACAAGACATTGGACATAAATCATCATCGAGGGCGGAATCCAAATCTTTTTCTGAGGTCTTTTCATCGGTCCAGCCAGCGTATGTCCATCTTCTCGCTCCTCACGGTTTGCTGCATGATCCAGTCCAGTCGAACACAATCAAGAATGTCATGGGTGATAGTAGGCAGCCTTGTTTCACTCCTGTCTTCACTTCAAAGGCGTCAATGAGCTTTCCATTGTGGATCACTTGGCATGTGGCGTCTTCACATAGCTGTTGAATGAGGTTGATAAAGATTAGTGGCACACCACAGTGTTGAAGCAGTTTCCGAATTACTTCTCGGTCGGCGCTGTCGAAGGCCTTCTCAAAGTCGATGAAGTTGAGGTAGAGAGTTGACTGCCATTCTATACTCTGTTCTATGATGATGCGTAGCATAGCGTTGCAATTTCATCCACACATGATTTGTTCCTCCCGAAGCCAGTCAGCCAGCCAGCCAGCCAGCCAGCCAGCCTGTTCCGGTCGTAGTTTTGAATCCAGTGCATCTTGTAGTCTCTCCAGGATGATGTGGCATCATAATTTGCTTGGGGGTGGACAGCAGCATGATTCCTCGCAAGTTCTTGCAAACACTGAGGTCTCCCTCCTTCGGGAGTTTGACGAGGTAGCCCTTCTTCCAATCAATCAGCAGGTACCTTCCCTTCCTTCCTTGCAAACCTTCTGCAGTAGTGGTGTGAGCATGTTCGCTGTTGTCTCTGAGCCTGTTCTCAGTGCTTCAGGACAAATTCCATCTGGTCCTGCTGCTTTCCCACATTTCAGTAGCTTTCTGGCATTCAGGACTTCCACTTTTGTCGGAGTGTTTGTGTTCACTGACAGTTCAATGGCTGGGCTGCTGGTGGTATTTCTGGACGAGTTGCAGGTGTTGGTGGTGGTCGATTCAAGAGCTTTTTGAAATGGTCAGCCCATCGTTTCCTTTGTTTCTCTTCTTTGGTAACTAGCTTTCCTTCACTATCTTTCATTGGTCTCGTCTGAGTTGACCTCTTCCGGATAGTGACCTGGTTATTTGATATAATGTTGTCAGGTGTCTCCTACCAGCAGCCTGTTCTGCTTCACTTTCAAGTGTGTCGTTGAAGTGTCTTTTGTCTTTGCACGCACACTCTTCTTCACTTCTTTGTCCAGTGTAGTGTTTTATACGTTGCACTCAGTTCCTCTTCTCGTTGTGCATCCTTGCACTGCTTCATCTGCTTCTTATGAATGTGATGCAATAAATCACTTTATGGGCATCTTTGTCATCACCAGCTGAGAAGCGTCTTTGAGCGGTTCGTATTTTGGATATATACTAAAAGCTGTATGTATTAGGGTGAAGCCTGATGGGATATTATGGAAAACAAATTTGTTCGCTTACCTGTTAATAACGACAAACTGCTTCAACCTTGGGCTACCAAATTTTCCCACCCAACATAAATGTCAATTTTCACCTTTCATTTTATTTCAATCATTTAAATATATCGTCTACATGCATTATGTACTGTAACATGTTTTGAAAATTTTTGCAACTCACTGTTTCCGGAGTTAGTAGCGAAACAAAGAAAACAATGTCACGTTATAAAGAAGTAAACTATTTTGCGCGCAAAGTTACATCATATTTCAATGCCTCGAATACTTAGCTTCAGTTGCAAATTCTGGCTGACTTTAAAGGCCGCTCAAGCACCTGATGAGACAGCCAATCACATTGCTTTATTGTGTGGAAAATTATTGTTGCAGGCGAAGTACTGGAAGCTGATTGGTAATTTCAGCAGTTGCTGGGGTAGCTTTTAAAGTCAGCCCAAATGCTCATACTGGCTGCATGAACTGCCCCCAACCGAATTTATGTCAGCATTTCTGATGATTATTCACTATAAACCGGGCGCTAATCCAAAACCAACTGACTGCTTCACATTATTGCTTTGAATAATGTTCTTATTAATATTATTCATATCCAATAACCATTTCGTCTGAAATTAATGTCCTCGTAGTAAACTTGCTGAGAAATTACATGCTGAGAATGCTACACTATGTTGTACATATAGTTTGGAACAAAACGATTATTATGGTTATTATTAATTTTCAAAATGCAAATTTTTAGTATTTAGTCGCAAAACTCCAAAATTATCTTTCTGAAACCTACGTGTTCCCTCACCCAATCGTAAAAAATGATCCCAGAATATAGTGCTACTTCTAAGACTACTTTTAAAGCCTTAATGAGTTTCTTAGTCTTCCGTGATGGTTTGAATTAGCCACACTACACGCATGTACCATAGTTTCACCTTTTTGTTTGATATATAAATAGACCAAGGACATTTGGGAAAGGAGAGATAGTCTTTTTATCAAGCTGCTAGCCCCCAAACATGGTTCGATTTGCATGTGGATACTTTGACTTAGCTATGCTCAAGCCCCTTTTGACACCACGGAGATTTAAATTATTGTCAGTTATGCAACCTTTGAAAAACAAAACAGTGAACAGATGTTTCTCCATGTTCCAAGACAATTTATACTCTTATACCTAAATTCCTTATGCCCTTCTTTCAGTTCATCTTATGATTTCACTGTCCCAGTTACCTTAAGAAGTGGGACACAGAACGTTGGTCTAATGTTCCATAAGATTATTCTGTTTTATTAAGTCAGTTACAAATATTGATAATCAAACCCGGTTTTTGCTGTTGAAAGAAATTTGAAGTTAAAGTATAGCAACCATTTAGTCTCAGAATTATTCATCGCCAAAACATCTTGAGCACTACCGAAAGCTACATCGGAAACATAATTTACTGAAAAGCAACATATCAGAAGGTCCATATACTATAGAAGTCTTTAACTTTGGTAGTTGTCTGCATCGGTAGGGGTGGCTTTAGAGGTCAGGTTAATTGTTTGAGTAATAATCGAAATTCATATGGCATAAAAATGTTTTAGAAACTTTGTGTGTTTCTTTTTTAAAGTCATAAATATTCATAAATGTAACGGAAAAAAACTACGAGTTTTTAGCCGGGGAGTACTAATCACTGTGATTAGCCGAAAAGGAAGCGAAGTAGTGGAAGCGAAGAAGTAGAGTACAAAGGAATAGAATAGGAAGTGTGAAAAATAAACAACAGGAAATAAGGCCCTAGTTACTTATGTACATGCGCTCTCACACAGTTTCACATGTATCCAAGATGAATATGCAAATTTTAGTCAATAAGTTAGAAAAATTTCATGAATAGAACAGATTAAAAGATAACATGAAATCTTTCGATATGGACGATCGTTTCCTTCCATATACACCAACTTAATACTTAATGCCTACTAGTCGGTAAGAGAGTTAGCAAATAAGGAAGGGATGACGTTTCTGAAAGGGATACTTTAAACTGAAAGTGAGACAGTTACATCTTCGAGAGACCATTATTTCTCTTTCTCTTTCATGCTTTAATTTATACAGCAGTTCGATTTTCCCCACTTAGAACGATTTCCAAATATTTGGCACATTACAGTGTGCCATTCAAATATTCCCTTCATTGATGAGCTAGATCTGTGCTGCTGAAAGGTTACTCAGAAATATGTGATCCAAACATTATCGTACTATAACTTCTGCAAGTTCAGTGGTAGGTAAGTGTTAGAAAGGTGTTTCACCCTACTGTGGTACTCATGAATTATATACCTAGAAGAAAACTCTGGAGACTGGGACGATTCCTTGGACGTTTTAGTACTGCCATATTGATTTCAATGACTGGTATGTTGGAGGCAAAACCTCTTGATGATCCTCAGAAGTAAAGCTCAACCACTAAAAGTACTACCTGAAGTTGAAAATGGAATCCAGATTAACTTCGCATTTTCGTGTTTTGTTTACTTTTCTGCTTAAAAACAATCTTATCTCTCTTGAATTATTTTAATCACTGTTGTGACTATTCATTCTTTACAGGGCTTTTATTTAGGCCAGTGAATATCGAACGCTTACATTTCAGAGGAAATCGATGTTATGTGTGACTGCGGTCAAAACAAAAAACAGTTGCATAAGAATGTCTGCACATAGGATTGACTGGAATTCGAGTAGCTCATATACACAGGCATTTATTGTAGTTAAATAATAGTTACCAATTTCTTTAAAGACATTTTGAATGCGAAGAGTGTAAAATTTGCAGTAGCTAAGCGACAAGCTTATAAACTATTTCTATGTGAAAATGACTACAGACTGGAAGCTGTCATTCACTTGTAGGGAACAAAACTTTCACTAGATATTTTATATTTCGTAGTACTTCTACTTGCTATGCTACTTAGACTAATCACAGTTACCCATCTAGAGATTTGGAGATGAATTTAGTCCGAAAGAATAAACTCGCAACGGTGTGGTGAATCACAGTATTAGCTCAGTAGTACCGATGAAAACAACTGATAAATGTCCTAAAGTAAGATGCAATTATGTCTCCTGAAAAGCAGCTGGATCATAGCATTCAGGAAATCAGGTCAAAGTTCACAAGTTAACGTGTGATAATTTCAAACACAGTTGCCGATATGACAGGATTTCAAATTATACTGATCTAAAGATGCTGTACAAGAGAAGAGTAAGCTTCTGTTCAGCATTTAGGATATTTCAAAGGAAATGTCCTTTTGCATTTCCCCTTGATTCCTTAGAATTTGACAACCTCCAACAGTTCTCATTAGTCTATACTATGATGTAAGCTGACCAAGCATCTATATGCACCCAAAAGTTTTAATAAATGGAACAATGATTATCTAGTCTATAAAATTGTCACTAATTCAACACCTACAAGATCACTCTAGTTAATTTATTAAGTTTATATCCCAGTATCATAGCAACAAACTCCAATTAGCCTACCATAAAAAGCAATTTTTATCAATACAACATATCAAGGACTGCAAATAAATGTCAAGATTGAAGCGGATGTTGTAGGAGGGTTGAAAGTTTAGTAGAATGAGGACTAAATACGAATATAGATTAAAACGAAAATACATAGTGGCAGTAGTAGTAGTAGTAATAGTAACAACTGTATTAAATGACACCTAAATTTCATCATGTCATCCGACGCTTCCCACTAGTTTGCGAACACACTCACCTAAAGGGACACATTTAACTATTCAAACGATGTGATCAACGTATGAGATTTTCACAGTACTCTTTTGTTTGAGAATAAACAATTCTCTTCCCCTCTTTGGTTATTCTCCTTGAGACTACTGTTCTACAGCGTTTTAAGTATGAAGATTTGGATCCTTGTTTTGGTCTATTTATAAGTTTTATCCACACACATTTTCAGTAAACACCTTTATTTTAATACACTTCACTTATCTATTTTTGTTAATCGACTAGAATTTGAATAAAATATCAAAGCAAGAACTGTTGCATGTATCATCTATAAATTACTTCCTCCTAATCAGAACTTTATTTTAAAATAAGCATGAATTATTCCGAGATATTCTAGAAATAAAAAGAGCTAATAATCAAACCAAAGAAGACTGACTTAAAAAGCTTCTTTTTGAGACAGATTTTCATACGACAATATCTTATTTCCTATTAAAATAAATACCTTCGGCTTAATTAAATCACAAAATTTTTCACGTGAAACAAAAAATAAGGAGTAAAAAAGCTCATCTTGTGGAGACAAGGAAATAGTCACTTGAACAAATTATATTCCGTAAAAATGCCTAAAATGAAATAGCTCAATGAAATACTAGTTAAAGATTCAACTGACAGTTACTTTTATCTAGCTGTAACATCGAAGACCCTTTTCATTACGTTTTAAAATAAGCTTATAGGCCATTTAATGTTCGACAAACCATGTTATTCCAGTTTGACACTATTCTAAAGTGCACAACTCCGACTCTATATGGAACCAAACCCTGTCGTTCAGTCTTAGTGAAGAGTGCTCTGATTTTTGACCTCGGTGGTTTATAGGTACAAAGCGAAACTGATTTGAAGACAAATGTCGAATAATGACTTCAAATTATGATCACCATACATTATTTTTGGAAATATGAGTTTATTAATTCGATTAAAATGGTTCATGTCTATTTCGTAATGAGATAGTAGAAGTGAACACAGTGAAGGCCATCGTTATGAAGAAAAACTGAAATATGGTTAGCGCTTAATTTTCACATCTTTGTCCGAAAATTATCTTAAGGCCTTATTCCCCATTCGTGAGTGGCAAAATTATCTGATTTCATTGTGCTGCTTTAAAGGCCTACTCTTCATTGCATACGAATTCCAATGGTTTCAAGATGTTGTTAACCAAATACAAATACAGATACTCAATGACAATACTGTATAGAGGTCATACCACGTCATGAACCAACAGAAGTAGGAAATGTGAACAACTGGGTCCCTACCCAGTGGTTCAATGGCAGCATGCTGGCCACGTGACCCAAAGATCTTAGGTTCGACCCCTGGTGGGTAATGGGTATGCACTACTGATGAGTCCCGTCTAGGACAAAACACCTGTCAAATGCTTCCAACTTTGTAATGTTTCTCCAAATGATGTCAGTTCATGATGAATACCAACCTGAAATTGAAAATAAATTCCACAAACTTCCGAATTGAATGTTGCTAACCAGTTTATCTACTTTGAAAAGCTAAACTACACCATCGATATCTACTTTTTAAGTGTTCATTACGCTGATACTCTCCCTTGTATTATCATGTCATCTTTAAAATAAGGACTATATTTGACCTGTAAATTGATAATTCTTCAGACAGACTGCACAGCTTTTATTCGAAAAAGATAGACAAAATAACACTAAAAATCACTATATCACATGAAATATTTTATCCACCTCAAAACTTATTGTGGAATGAAATTAAGGCATATTTAAAAGCAAAAATGAATTGTCATAGATGTTTCTAGTCTCTGACTGTAATCGAATTCACCCTAACTTGGTATATATGCATGCAGCGAGTAAATACACGTAAGTTGATTGTACTATGTGGTGAAATATTGACTACGACAGCAATACTGTGAACTACTGGAAAGTTCCCACCATTATTTCCGGCTATGTTAGTCGGTCAAATAATATGAAGGCAATATAAGGACCCTGACTTTGATCTAACTACTTACAAAGCCAAAAAACGTTTATCCGCAAAATTCCAAACGTATCCTGAAGGTAACTTTATAAATATATATATATATATATATATATATATATATATATATATATATATATATATATATGCATATATATATGTGCACTACTGATGCCTTAGGAAACCAGATGTATTTTCTCCAGTCATACATCTACTCAATGTTGCAGGAGAATATAGCAGTTGATGTTATTCGTAGTTCACCTTTACGCATCAATACCTTTTTGGACCTAGCTTTTTATCAGAAGCAGAAGATAATTCATGCTAGAATCTACCAATTGTTTTCCATTATGAAATGATCAAAGTAACAAGTATACATTTATGACAAACAAAATTATTCCCATTATAGTGAATCACACAAGGGGGAGTAAGATGTATCACATACCTTTACGAGTTGCTTCGAAACTGTCGTCTCCATCAATTGTCTCTATAATCGGTATAAGCTGGAACCGATGATTTGATGAATCGTGTTGTTGTAGAAGTTTATTAGCTGCTTGTATACTCTTCTTAAAACAGATCTCTTGTGCTACATCATCTTTTTCGATTAAAGCACCTGAAAACAAACAAAAAGGAAAATGGTTCTTTTTTGAAAAATATTCATTCTACAAGACAATATTGATTTGCATGCAACCAGTTGATTTCATAGACGATAAGTGGTGAATGTGTCTTGAAGTCAAGCTGAAACATTTTTAAGGATTGCATCTCAAAGTTTAGTTGGAAGAATGGTAGGTCAACAAAAAGTGACTGTTAGTTCAAAACTTAATAAGATCTAGTTCTTATTTCTGCATCATTCATCACTTTTGCATAAACAGTCTCATAAATAGGAATTTCCTATTCCTGAATGCACTACTAACAAGGATATCAAACAATTCCACCCACAGACTAATGTACACAAAAACAACATGCAATGAACGATTAATCAAAGCTTTATACGTCTTAAAAACAAATAGATCCTTGTTCTTTCATTATGTTCAAGGGTTCAGAAGCGCTCTTCTTAGGATATACTGGGCGTTGAGGTTAAATTTTCTGCCTAGCATCCTACTGGAAAACGCAAAGTATCAAGATCCATTGGTTCTAAAATAAAATAAAAGCCACAAGTGTAAGGTAATCGACCGTTTCAAAGACAGCTCTGTATGTGAAACATATAAGTGAAGACATTTCATGTAAATTGTGTGATAACTACATTATCCAGTAGACAATTATTCCATTAACGTGTTGATCACAGAATGCCGCATTTTGTCTTATCAGTGTGCATTTATCAGTTTACTCTACACAGCATCAACTCAGGAAAAACATTTTGGAACGTTGTCCATCTTGGTTTTTCAGAGAATAAAGGAGGAATATCAACAGTTCTATTTTCGAACAGTTTATATCCAGATACCTAGCCCCTCCTGGCATTTCCTTCAAATAAGTTTGCAAACTTCCGCGTGCCATTTTCAAAGGCTATCGAGTCATCAACAATTCACAACTTTAAACTTGAGCTTTGCGCTGAATAACACCACGTGCACTCATTAGCTTTACCACAGCTTGAGTAAGGATTTCCTCCTGTCTTTCGGAACAACTTTTTATCCTACTATTGAACAACAATGCAATCATGAACTCCTAATGGTTAATGCTAAACTGTTATTAGCTTCAAATTATTATGAATACGATTATATAGCTTTAATAAGTGAAACTGCCAAGGAGTAAATTTTCTTTTCTCTTACATCTTTATTCTATGACTTAGTTATATATTCTTAACAATGGAAATCTGCTATACTATGTGTTACTGCGACCACTATATAATAATCATCGCTGACTAGCATACGTAAACAGTCGCTCTAAATAGTAATAAAAATTCGTGGCTTTTAAACACAACTAAGTGAATCGAAGTGGAAGTAGCTCATATGATGCAATAAGTCAGTGTACACAGTGCTTAATGTGATAACTCCTAAAGTTAAGCTCACTGATTCAGAGAAAAGAGCTCACATTTTTATCACAATAAATGTAAATTGATTTATTTTAGGTAATCAAACCCACAGAGCGAACGTCTTCTCCACTATTTCTTCAGTAGCCAATGAGTTATTGTCTTGTGATTAAAATGGGAACTACCATTTATAAAAGATAAATGTCAATTTAATGATCCTGGATTATCTGGAAAAGCTAAGAAGTAGACCTTTATTTTTGGGCGGGCGGCAGCTGAAAATAAACAACGTGACTGTACAGTGCTTGCGCAATACTGAGTAACAACAAGAAAGATAATTAGGTAGAACCATAAATCATATCGGAAATGTAAACTAGGCGAGGGAATCGTGAATCAGTTAAAAGTTTGTTCCACTTGAATACACTTTTGAGGAGGCTACTAAGCTTTTCCATTAACTGTTGTGTTAGTTAGGTTACTGATCTTATATCATTATAAACTTAGCTAAATCCTTATACTCTATCAACCTGATTTACTCTGTTTGACTAGTGTGACCTTTGTACTTTACCTCAGAAAAGATGCACAGTATTTGGCAAATTCTTTTGTCTAAAAGAGTCGGTGGAATCCATAAGCTGACTAATTTCGTCACTGAGTGAATTTTTAGTTGATAACTACTTTGTAGCAAGAAATTCATTAGGAAGTGAAGTATTTCACATTTTATGAAGGTTTATGAAGGATATTTACCAACCTTGAGAGTTATTGCCTTGTGGACAGTGATGTCAGTCTTTCTTTCTTATCAGAGGTTGACCTTCATAACTGTCGTTATCATTTGACCTGGGCTGTTGACCTAATGTCTGATTACTGATTTGCTTGATTGATTTTCAGTTGACTTTCTTAGTAGTCCGTATGGGCAGTTTGATTGGAGTCCATGCTTCCAGGACCTTATTGCAGCTTTTGAGCTTGCTTTTTGTAGTATTTCCACGTTTTACTAGTTGAAGTTAGGGTTAAGCTTGTCTACTTGAATTAGTGATAACATGTCAAGTCATTTGACTTAATAATACTGACAGTTAAATGTCTAGACTATGTCGGTCTTGTCTTCATTGAGTAATGGATCCTTTAGCTTGCGTAAGACGTTCTACATGAACTTGGTTGGTTTTTGTGTCACACTAATGCCAAAGGAGTGAAATAATTGGTTGACGGTTTCTGAGACATCTTTGATATATAGTAAAATTATGCAATTTGTAGGTTAGGTTGATTGTTCTGGTGTATATTCTGTCGATAAGCATTTCTTGATTAATTTGTTTGGAAAGCCATTTACCCTAAGTACTTTGTATAGCTGATTCTCCTTCAAATTCCGCTGTTGTCGAGTGCTGCAGTGAGTGTTGGAAAGTGTATAGTGCTTCCACACAACTCTTCCTGAGAGACGTGAAGTTGTTAGTTAAGTTGTTCACAATTTGTTCTGTCTTTGTCAACTTCTTGAGTTCTTGAGTCTACAATGTTCTGTCACGTGTTCTTTTGAAAAGCAAATCCTGGAAAGCGATTCCTCCGTTTTCTTCTTCCTCTTCAGGAGATCGAGTGCATTCACAGATTTGATTGATGTGATTGGAAGTATTTTCCAACTTGCTTATTCCAATAATTGCTAACTCGTCTTAAATGGAATGAATTCGAACCTTCGGTTTGATTGCTGAAATGAATTTTTATTCTAGTTTCTGGGCTATTGGTTCAGCAGTCGGTCCGGATATTGGTGAGCCCATGGCATTTCTTTTGGTATGTTTATAGATCTTCCCACTGAACTGAAAGTAAGTTGTGAGACATTTGTTGATTAATTTGGTCAATTTTTTATTAGTAGTTTTCGCAATCTTCTGAAGATTTTGGTTACTGGTGAGAAGGACGCTCATTCTTATGTTGTCGAAATTTCGGCTGTTAGACGTAAAAGATGCAGACAGTATCCCATATTACTTGAGGAACTAGGTTATTCAAATAATTGAGTGTTGGCATTCATCAATAGGATGATTTAGTCTGTTTTATAATTCTCTAAGTAGATTAAATTACGATACTCCTGATATTGATACTATTGGTGACAATCGAATATCTACATTGTGTACTTCTAGTTGGCAGTAGAATCAAGATAAAACTACACCATTCACCTACATTCGCCTCTAATCCTCTTTCATCGCCTAAATAGATAAGCTGACTTATTTTTCATCAGTTATCCAGTTAATTGACACAATTCTTTTCTATCAGCTGATAGCTTCATTTGTTACTGAGTAATTCCTATGCGTTCTTCACGCAATTCGATATCCTAATGCAAACCGATAGTATTAAATTGAATGCAGTTCATTATTCGAATGAAAATTCTTCCCTCAGGTTCCTAGCGTAAAACACGGATTCATAACATATCGTCATTTCAACACGTTCTAAGAAATCTTTTAAACCAGGTCCCATGACTACCCACAAGCTCTCATTTCCTCCTCACACGATCTCCTCCATGTCACCCTCACCTCAGACGCCCAACTCGTCGCTTCCCCTTTGGATTCCACTCGACGGTCTGCCCTAGTGTGTGATGTCCCCAGTCGGCCTTCTCAGTGTATCCCCAATCCAACTCATCTACACTTTCTTCTGCATATTTGTTGGGCGATGGGTTGTTGGTTGGTTCGTTGCCAGTCAGAGGTCCTTGTTGCTTGTTCCCTCTGCCCATCCATCTGATCTTCAGTATCGAGCGTAGGCAGCTCTTGATGAATGTCTGTAGCTTGTTGGAAGTGCTTTTCGTGACACGCCAAGTCTCTGAGCCATACAGAAACACTGACTTGACTGACGTTGGTGTTGAAAATCTGGATCTTATTCATGCTTTATACTGAGTGCAGCAGATCTCCACACTGATTTCAGATTGATGAAAGCCTGTCTTGCTGGTTTTCCGATCCTGGTCATGACATTCTCGTCTGTGCCGCCTGTAGTTGGAACAGTGCTGCCCAGAGAGGAGAAGGAGGCTAAATCCTTTAGGTTTCTCCCGTTAGTGGTGATTGGTGCTTGTTGTTGATGCTGTTGTTGTTGGTTGAGTATCTTCATCACCTCTGTCTTCTCCACATTCACTTGAAGTCCCGTCTTCGCTGCCTCTTCGGTCAACTTGTTAGTCTTCGCCTGTAGATCTTCGAGTTTGTGCGACAAGACATTGGACATAAATGATCATCGAGGGCGGAATCCAAATCTTTTTCTGAGGTCCTTTCATCGGTCCAGCCAGCGTATGTCCATCTTCTCGCTCCTCACGGTTTGCTGCATGATCCAGTCCAGTCGAACACAATCAAGAATGTCATGGGTGATAGTAGGCAGCCTTGTTTCACTCCTGTCTTCACTTCAAAGGCGTCAATGAGCTTTCCATTGTGGATCACTTGGCATGTGGCGTCTTCACATAGCTGTTGAATGAGGTTGATAAAGATTAGTGGCACACCACAGTGTTGAAGCAGTTTCCGAATTACTTCTCGGTCGGCGCTGTCGAAGGCCTTCTCAAAGTCGATGAAGTTGAGGTAGAGAGTTGACTGCCATTCTATACTCTGTTCTATGATGATGCGTAGCATAGCGTTGCAATTTCATCCACACATGATTTGTTCCTCCCGAAGCCAGTCAGCCAGCCAGCAAGCCAGCAGCCAGCCAGCCTGTTCCGGTCGTAGTTTTGAATCCAGTGCATCTTGTAGTCTCTCCAGGATGATGTGGCATCATAATTTGCTTGGGGGTGGACAGCAGCATGATTCCTCGCAAGTTCTTGCAAACACTGAGGTCTCCCTCCTTCGGGAGTTTGACGAGGTAGCCCTTCTTCCAATCAATCAGCAGGTACCTTCCCTTCCTTCCTTGCAAACCTTCTGCAGTAGTGGTGTGAGCATGTTCGCTGTTGTCTCTGAGCCTGTTCTCAGTGCTTCAGGACAAATTCCATCTGGTCCTGCTGCTTTCCCACATTTCAGTAGCTTTCTGGCATTCAGGACTTCCACTTTTGTCGGAGTGTTTGTGTTCACTGACAGTTCAATGGCTGGGCTGCTGGTGGTATTTCTGGACGAGTTGCAGGTGTTGGTGGTGGTCGATTCAAGAGCTTTTTGAAATGGTCAGCCCATCGTTTCCTTTGTTTCTCTTCTTTGGTAACTAGCTTTCCTTCACTATCTTTCATTGGTCTCGTCTGAGTTGACCTCTTCCGGATAGTGACCTGGTTATTTGATATAATGTTGTCAGGTGTCTCCTACCAGCAGCCTGTTCTGCTTCACTTTCAAGTGTGTCGTTGAAGTGTCTTTTGTCTTTGCACGCACACTCTTCTTCACTAGTTTGTTGCCTCTGTGTCCTGACACTTCAATGCGATACCTTCTCATCTGTTTTGCAATCTGGGCAGCCTTGGTAGGTTCATGCATGGTGCGGACATTCTGTGTCCCCACGTTTACTCCTGTTTCCATCGAGAGAGAGAAGACACATCGGCCAATCGGCTTCCCGAAGGCTTTCATCAACCGGCGTCATTTTGTCTCTCCGATTCCAGCGAGGAATAAGTTTGTTCTTACTTTTTATATTTTGTTTGTGCTTTGAAGTTTCTTCAGCGGTTAGATTTGTTTTACGGGGTAGGGTTACTAGCCCTATACCCAACCTTCCCTTTTTATCCGGGCTTAGGACGGGCTAGTAACTAGTGAACTAGTTAACTGGGCGAGGTCTGGTATGTTGTTAATATGGCAATTTTCTTTTCTGATGTTAGTTAATTCGGTTATTTTCTCTTTTTTTTCTTCATACTCCTTTCACTGGATTTTCGAAACCGTATCACTGGTTGTCATAGTTCCTGTTGTTTTTCAGCTGTAACTGCTCAAGTTTTCAACTAGGACTGAAAGGCTACACACATATCCAGTATGTTCCCATTTTTTGCATTCAGTTATGTCCTTTTGTGAAGTAAATCAATATTTATAGAAGATAGAGCTCTTTCTTAACGGTTCACCACCAAATCCTGATTTTCTTATCCACCTATTTGAGAAATTTATTGATGTGTTTTCCTCTTCTTCTGCTTTACGTTTTTCTTTTTGTGTTTATGAAGGTGGTTTCTTGATTCATTATCTCCGTTCTTAGTACTGGTCCCAGGATTTATATTTGAATCCTGATTATCCTGTTGTGTTTCTTGAGTCTGTTGTATACATCTGATATCATTCCCCGTCCCTTTTTCCTCCAGATTGCTCAGTGATCCTTCATTCAGTGTGACAACTGATAGACGATTTATATTTTACACTTCGTGTCAACATATGCTTTTGCAAACACTCAGGTAAAAAGGAAAGTCGTGCTTGGATGGAAGCAATCTATTCGGCGAAATTCTCTTTCTTTCAGGTATGAAGAAGTACACTGCACCAAAAGGTTTGAGGTAGGAGAGTAGATCTACAGGTCTAAATACCACTCTAATCGCAGTCCTATCAGGAATCATGCGCAGGGTTTCTTATGTACCATCCATATACAGCAAAACAGTAAAGACCTTAAACTGTGAATTATTTACCCATATTACTACTCCTTTTCTTCTGAGGTCTTATGAATTTCTCAGTGAGGTTCCTAGGGTATTTGTTAATTAGTGAAAGATAAACGTTTCGTTCAAATTTGTAGGCTTACCAGTTGAACTCCTTGCTCGATTACTTAAGCATTTAACCAAGACTGCTTTTACGGATGTGAGATGGGATGACTTACAGTCAAGATATAAAACTGAGTGTTCTTCTGTAAACACTAGTGTCTAGACCCCCATCTTGTATTCGCTGTTTTTTTGAAATCCAGCACAGCAAATTCTTTTTGTTCCTTTTCTAACTCATAAGAAAGTTGAATCCTTTCTAACACTGAGTTTATGTTTGTGTTGAAAGTATGAATATGTTTCGATTTTAAAAAAGTGAAGGCGTGACCAATTTAAGTCCACTATATCATCGGAGTAGCAAAAAAATGTTAGCACAGTATGAGAACTTGACTAATTCTCTGCAGTACATTTATGTAATTAATAAGTGAAATGAGAACCCCCCTTTAATGTGAAAATTAAGGGCTGCCTTGCGTAAAATGTTGAGTTATCCGGGAACGTGTAAAGTAATGCACGAAACAAAGTTAGTCCATCATTTTTCCCAGTCCCCAAAACTGGTAGTTAAACTGTTGTGCTTTCTTACGATGTATTAACGTGTCGAAACAAGTCATGAGCTTCCTTGAAATAAATTCAGTCCCCAGTCACGGTTAGAAGAACGCATAGACTTTTCATCATCTTTATACTCAACATGATTTCATAGTTAATGACTCAGTATGAAACACTGTTTATAGATAGGGGAAAAGTTGTCGATTCACAATTTTTGAGTTCCTGCCGACAGCAAAAGCCAACAAGAACACAGCAAGTTCACATGAAGCCAATAAGAGATAAACAAGAGGATATGTGATAAAAATGTCAAATATCAATTTTTTTAGCATAATCAAATAAGCATCATCAGTGATAACTGCTTACATGTGCCCTGTTTTATATGAGAAATACTTCTTGTCCGTATCGACAACTGGATAAACACTATAGGATTGAACGCATGTTTCTAGATGAATGAGAGTAAATTCAAAATGTCAACCTAAAATTGTCGGAACATTCAAAGATGGTTTTCACGATAACTCGATATCAGCAGAACAACTGTCGTTCACTAATTTAAGGATATTTGCCTCAAGCGCTATAACTAGAAGTTGCAAAATCTAAATCTCATCTTATAATGTACAGAACCATCTTTGAGATGGCATTTCACTACTACTAGTTTACTATGACTTACAATTTCAACTGATAAGAGTTTTTCGTTTGTTCGGAAACTGTTCAATTTAGCCATATTTTTTAGACTTGAAGATGATGGCTGGTAACAGATACGCATTTACTAAGTGCTTAAACAGGGATCACACTCATATAACTTCCATCCATCTAGTATTGAATTGGGACTGAAATTGTGTTCATATTTGCTTAACAATAACAAAATATTATGCACCTATGACATTAGGTGAATAAGCATGCACTACAGATGGTCATAAATGCACTAATACACGATCAGTGAGAAGCAACCGTCTAAAGCTTCTTATTTCACTTATAGCTGTGATAACATTTCAGAAAGTTATTACATTGACCTGATAGGTAGTTTGTAACACTTTAACCAATGTGCATACCGAAAATATGCTTGGACTACTTAAAGTACTGATTACATCGAAGACAGCTGCTGAATTGAGAAATCAATCATTAGGTTGAAATCGTCATTTCATCAAATCTCAACAACCAGTGACCATATCTTCTATCATCTTAATATCGCAAGTGAAATTACTGCTATTGAATGGCAAATATTCCTGCAACTCAGTGGATTCATTTGAATTATATAAACCTTGCTTGAATGAATCAGTTTTCTGTGCAATAGGGATTTACGAACTTCTGACAAGTAAAATTCTGCTGGCAGTCATCAGCAAGGCATTGCATCAAATTTGACAAAACTGACATCCTCATAGATATCTGAACAGATAATTACAGAAATTACTTTTCAGCAATTCTAAGCGAAACAAAATCCACGTACAAATGGATTGAGAGTATTTATCCGTTAGTGAAAGTAAATAAGTAAGTATACCAAGAAAAGCCGCAGTGCATACGATTTTCTACCAGTTAATGCAGTCTCCATTGAATTGACGGGGTTGCATCACATGCTGCATGATATACAGAGATGCACAACATCGCCTGATTAACTAGTTCACTAGTTACTAGCCCGTCCTAAGCCCGGATAAAAAGGGAAGGTTGGGTATAGGGCTAGTAACCCTACCCCGTAAAACAAATCTAACCGCTGAAGAAACTTCAAAGCACAAACAAAATATAAAAAGTAAGAACAAACTTATTCCTCGCTGGAATCGGAGAGACAAAATGACGCCGGTTGATGAAAGCCTTCGGGAAGCCGATTGGCCGATGTGTCTTCTCTCTCTCGATGGAAACAGGAGTAAACGTGGGACACAGAATGTCCGCACCATGCATGAACCTACCAAGGCTGCCCAGATTGCAAACAGATGAGAAGGTATCGCATTGAAGTGTCAGGACACAGAGGCAACAAACTAGTGAAGAAGAGTGTGCGTGCAAAGACAAAAGACACTTCAACGACACACTTGAAAGTGAAGCAGAACAGGCTGCTGGTAGGAGACACCTGACAACATTATATCAAATAACCAGGTCACTATCCGGAAGAGGTCAACTCAGACGAGACCAATGAAAGATAGTGAAGGAAAGCTAGTTACCAAAGAAGAGAAACAAAGGAAACGATGGGCTGACCATTTCAAAAAGCTCTTGAATCGACCACCACCAACACCTGCAACTCGTCCAGAAATACCACCAGCAGCCCAGCCATTGAACTGTCAGTGAACACAAACACTCCGACAAAAGTGGAAGTCCTGAATGCCAGAAAGCTACTGAAATGTGGGAAAGCAGCAGGACCAGATGGAATTTGTCCTGAAGCACTGAGAACAGGCTCAGAGACAACAGCGAACATGCTCACACCACTACTGCAGAAGGTTTGCAAGGAAGGAAGGGAAGGTACCTGCTGATTGATTGGAAGAAGGGCTACCTCGTCAAACTCCCGAAGGAGGGAGACCTCAGTGTTTGCAAGAACTTGCGAGGAATCATGCTGCTGTCCACCCCCAAGCAAATTATGATGCCACATCATCCTGGAGAGACTACAAGATGCACTGGATTCAAAACTACGACCGGAACAGGCTGGCTGGCTGCTGGCTTGCTGGCTGGCTGACTGGCTTCGGGAGGAACAAATCATGTGTGGATGAAATTGCAACGCTATGCTACGCATCATCATAGAACAGAGTATAGAATGGCAGTCAACTCTCTACCTCAACTTCATCGACTTTGAGAAGGCCTTCGACAGCGCCGACCGAGAAGTAATTCGGAAACTGCTTCAACACTGTGGTGTGCCACTAATCTTTATCAACCTCATTCAACAGCTATGTGAAGACGCCACATGCCAAGTGATCCACAATGGAAAGCTCATTGACGCCTTTGAAGTGAAGACAGGAGTGAAACAAGGCTGCCTACTATCACCCATGACATTCTTGATTGTGTTCGACTGGACTGGATCATGCAGCAAACCGTGAGGAGCGAGAAGATGGACATACGCTGGCTGGACCGATGAAAAGACCTCAGAAAAAGATTTGGATTCCGCCCTCGATGATCATTTATGTCCAATGTCTTGTCGCACAAACTCGAAGATCTACAGGCGAAGACTAACAAGTTGACCGAAGAGGCAGCGAAGACGGGACTTCAAGTGAATGTGGAGAAGACAGAGGTGATGAAGATACCAACCAACAACAACAGCATCAACAACAAGCACCAATCACCATTAACGGGAGAAACCTAAAGGAAGTAGTCTCTTTCACCTACATACCTAGGCAGCAGTCTTTCATCTACCTGGGCAGCATCTTTCAACTGCAGAGGGCGGCACAGACGAGAATGTCATGACCAGGATCGGAAAACCAGCAAGACAGGCTTTCATCAATCTGAAATCAGTGTGGAGATCTGCTGCACTCAGTATAAAGCATGAATAAGATCCAGATTTTCAACACCAACGTCAGTCAAGTCAGTGTTTCTGTATGGCTCAGAGACTTGGCGTGTCACGAAAAGCACTTCCAACAAGCTACAGACATTCATCAAGAGCTGCCTACGCTCGATACTGAAGATCAGATGGATGGGCAGAGAGAACAAGCAACAAGGACCTCTGACTGGCAACGAACCAACCAACAACCCATCGCCCAACAAATATGCAGAAGAAAGTGTAGATGAGTTGGATTGGGGATACACTGAGAAGGCCGATTTGGGACATCACGCACTAGGGCAGACCGTCGAGTGGAATCCAAAGGGGAAGCGACGAGTTGGGCGTCTGAGGTGAGGATGACATGGAAGAGATCGTGTGAGGAGGAAATGAGAGCTTGTGGGTAGTCATGGGACCTGGTTCAAACGATTTCGGAGAACGTGTTAGGTGGCGATTTGCTACTGAATCCTTATGTTCTTTTGCTACCTATGGGACAAATATGAGTATGAATGTTATAGGTGTGCACTATTAAGAAGCGTAGATTGTTTGTTAGAATTTTATATATTTGTCATCGGAAAAGAAAACGGAATTGCTTTTGATTTTTTTGGTTATCCTTATTTTTATATTCTTGTGTTTAAAATGCATGCCCAGTGAACAGCAGGATTATTAAGACGTTTATTGTATAGAAATAAATTCAAAAGAACAATAGATTTTTCAAGTGGAAAATGGTCTTATTGGCGGAATTGATATCTACATCATTATACTAACAGTTTAATCATGTTTAATTTTGATACTGGTTGATTTTTGAAAGTAGAATGGAAATCTGGACTGCGACTGGATTCGGACCAGCGACCTCTGAGTTTTCGGCCTGATGATACTCTTCTAACTGAGCTGCTAGACCCAATTTCTATCTAAGATAGTCAAAATAATATTTTTGTTTGTCAAACATTCATCTGACATTTTAATTTTACCAATGATAATTTCTATTTTGTTGATGCAGTAACACTGATCTTATTGGCTTCTATCACGCGGACCGTAAGAATTTTGTTAAACACCTCCTGCACTGAACGAATATACTTCAGCTCTTGCTCTCAACTTATTTAACCATTTGCAGTTCGTTCCACATTCTGTAGCGTCATACCATGCAATTAGAAAGTGACTCTTTGAAGTTAACTACTTCACTATTTCATGCTACATTTTCGTCGGATGGACCTTCATGGCTTTGGATTTATTTAGGAGGGTCAGGTGAGACCAGTCGTGGACTGACATTCATGAAAAATGTCTTTACGTTCGCTTCCTAAGCCGGTGTGATACCTCATTATATTCCATCCTCTACATGCCAAAATTCCCATGAGAACTACCACACTTCTGTTTAAGATAAGCTACAGAGTATGAGTCGCCAAGTGTTTGTGATCCTGTCACTTCATCCATAACTAATGGCAGTGTTCTAAAACCGCACTTATGAGGTCAGTGAGGGAATCTGCTCTGTAGAAATTGACATTCCCATGAGCATATAAACGGTTAGTACATTTCAGTGATATCTTACAGGTTGGTTGCATTCTGATATCGAGTTTAGTACAAACAAGTGCGTACATATTTAACAATTAAAAATTGAAACGATCATCACAATTTTAAACAAATTGAATCGAGGAAGCGAAAACCACAGAGTGCTAACACGTTTTATGGGGGAAGTGACAGTAAATTACTTTTTTTAAGGAATTCGTCATACAATCTGAAAGCACATCTTTCAGTACATGTTTCGTATTTACGAGTTGAATCTACAATACATACATAGTATTTGCAGGTTGTCTTGGCAACTAGAATCAGCATTCTAATAGCTCATTAGATTATGAAGAAAAATATCGTTTGAAAAGTGCACGATGCCTGCACAACTAGCACATTACAACCTGAAGTAACTGATATCAAAACCACCAAACTGTGTAGTAGTAATAATAATAATAATAATAATAATAGTAATAGTTCAGTCCTTTGAACCACTAGAGCCAAAACTTTGTTGTCAGGTAAAGTCAGAGTCGCAACATGGAAGGAACAAAAAACGCTGCAATCCAACATGATTCATTGTATTTCATCAAACTTATTTAAAACGCGTAGGCTAAGAGCAATTTAATAATATCATTCAAAAGTTCTTATCAAAGACTGATATTACTTAAGAAAACCTTCAAATAAAGTTTTGTAGTGGTTAAGGCTTCCGAAGTAATGTGTACTCACTACTAAGAAAAACATCAAGACGTGAAATGGAGAGCATAGTACTGTTATATGAGTGGGTCGCAAATCAAGAATCTGTCATTTTACGATAG